GGAGAGAAAACGGGGAGCAGGAAGGGAAATGTGGGGGCTGAGAAGGAGTGAGGTGGCTGGAGGTTGAGCATCCTGATTTTGTGGTGACCTCTCTAGACCTGGGGCAGAGGGGAGGGCAGATATGGATCCTCACGCTCCCTGGGCCAGAAGTTTGCATTGGTATGGGCAGGGCCGGAGTTGCTCTTCCCTGTGGTTTGGGTTGGGAGGTTGTGTAGCGTTATTTCTCACCTTCCTGAGTGTAGACAGGCCCCTCTTCACCTCCATGCCTCTATCTCCATGTTTTAGAAGGGATGCTCAGAGAAGCACATGTCCTGTGGCATCAGCCCTGGTTTCCTTTGAGAAGGAGGGTGCAGAATGGAGTGGGGGAAGGAGGCTGTGGTGGGAGTAGAAGCAGCCTGAAGCTGAGAGTGTCCCACAGGATCCAGGACATTGCTTGCCCTGGTATAGCAGCCACGGTCATTCGTGGGGGGTGAGGGGAGACGGGCTGGCACTGCGTCTGGGTGGAAGTGTCGTAAGTTCTCTGGCGCCAGATTCTGAGAAGTATAGCCTGGGGGGATCCTTTTCCACTAGCTGTTCTCTTCTCCTCTCTTCTCTGAAGACCTGAAGTCTAATTCTTGCTGGATTCCTTCTTTGAAGTCAGTAGGAGGTCATGCAGAACAAGGTTACTCCAACATACTCAGTGTGAGGTTCCGTATATGGTTCCTTCCCTTTTTCCTCCCCAGTCCTTCCCTCTTCCTTTCTCCTGTTTGAATCACCAGGATCTTTGTGCTTATTTCCACCCTGAGTACATACTCCTGGCCAGTGGGATATGTTTCCCAGGAATAGAAATGTGCCCCTGACCCTGTCCTTCCTGAGCACAGAGATGCAATCCTGTGGGTGGGTGGGAAAACTAGGGCTGGGGACTAGGCTGGACCACAGCCAAGTTTTCTGAGATGTTCTCTCCAAGTTGAAAACAGAACAAGTCCAGACATTGAAAGGTAATTAGTTTAGCTCCAAGTGGATCTGGGGATAATCTCAAACTTCAAAGCTCCTCTGTGTGTCAAGACCTGGGGAGTGGAGGAAGGGCAGGCATCAGAGACTAAGCATGCTGTCGGAGGACCAGAGGCCACCGTCCTTCATCCATCTCTTCTCCATTGCTACCCACATCATTGGACTTTTCCTCTCCTTCCCCTAGGGCCTAGAACAGTGCATGTGCTTCACAAGTCATCCAGGCTGCTGCTCAGGGAGCAAAGGGGCTCACCTGTACTTAAAACCTTGTTGTCATTCACCCAAAAGGAAATGAAGCTATAGCCAGAGGCAATGACCTTGATTTCTTCCCCAGGCTTTCTCTCCCCAACCCTGGAAACTCCCTTTGCTGTCCAGGACTGACCCCTAACATCTCTGAGCCTCTCCTAAAGCCCTCAGCAATGTGCTGTAGCATGGATTCATAACTTAGGTCAAGGCCCCACCAGGGTCCCTGATCAGTTGAATTCCAAGGTCCAGGTCTCTGAGCCTGTGCCTCATCTTCTTCAGTGTTGTTCTAGGAGCTATAGGTGCAAAGTCTTTGCTCTCACAGAGCTTATATTCTGGTGGACATGTTCAGAACACACATTTAAAAATAAGATTATTACAGGTTAAAGCAAGTGTTACAAAAGAAAGAAACAGATTGGGATGACAAAAAGTGGTGAGGGAGATGGATTTCCCCCAGGGTAACCAGAATAGTGACCTTGCAGAGGTGATATGTGAGTTGAGAACTGAAGGATGAGAGAACATTCTGTGTGAAGAGCTAAGGGAAGACACTTGTCAGCAAAGGCAACAGCAGGCGCAAAAGGCCCTTGGTGGGAAAAGGCTTGATGTGTTCAACCAACAGAAAAGAGCCGAGGGGCTGTAATTGTAGTTATGAGCAAGGAAAGAATGGGGTGAGATATGATTGGAGCAACAGGCAAAGCCAAGGCCTGCTCGAGGCCTGCAGGACTTGGTAAGGAGTCTGCTTTACTCCAGGAACAGTGGGAAGCCTTGAAGGGTTTCACCAGGGTGTGTGATGGTTGTGCCGCTTCAGATGCTTAAGATGAACAGACTGGGGAAAGACAAATTTGCAGGCGAGAGGAGATGGCATTGGAACAAGAGAACACAAACAGATCCATGGAGCATGTCTGCCTAATACTAGTTATAATCGAACGTGTTCTATGCTTCTCAAGGGCAACCCCTCTCCTCGTCCTTGCATTGATCACACATCTGTAGCGCACCTGTCACGTGCTGAGCATTGCCCTTGACTTCTGTTAGTCTGCTCCATCCTCATACTGGGCCTCTGAAATAGTTACTATTCTTATTTTGTAAGCAAAGAAACCTCAGGGAAGTTGATTTTCAAACCCCGATCTGCCTGATCTCCACAACACTATCCATACAGATGCTCACAAACGTACAATTGGATGGGTAAAAAAATAAGTCGCCAGTTGCCCAAGGGGTGTACTGTGCAGAGTGCAGGAGAGTCTTTTGGCTGAAAATAGCTTTCCTACACATGGAAAACAGAAGAATTTTTGCCTCCAAAGACCTGAAGGCCTCCGCTGAGTAAGAGATGGGTGACCTGGGGGATGAGAAGTATATTCTGTCATTGTCACCTGTTAAATGAGCACAGGAACTCTATATTGTCAGGGAATGGGAGTCGGGAAAGTTGCATGTGGAAGAGTGAAAACTCATTCAGGAAAAGGGGGGCATTGAAGACAACAGGGATGGTGAACGCTGGAGGGAATAATGGTAATAACATAATAATAGATGCCAAAGAAAATGCGCGCCGTGTACTGAGTGCCTGGTCCACACCCGTTAGCTTATCGTGGTATCTCACATACGCCTCATAACGAACCTCGGGGGTAGGTATGGCTGCGGCTCCTTGATTCTAGGAGGCCGTCAACTTAATAAAAGCTTTTCCTAGGACAACATACATTACAGTTACACAGTGATGTTTTGCTGTGTTGTGCTTTTACTAATGGAACATAGAACATATTTATTCTTAACCCAACCGCTTGATCCTTCAGGACGACAGTGCACAGTGGAATCCAGGCCTTCACGCACGGAGTTGAGGCGTCTTCTGGCTCCTTCCACTGTGCACATGCGACTCTCCATAGCCTGCCTGGGACATTTTTTGCCCCTTTAGGATCAACAGTATCATTTAGAATGGAATAAAGAGCGCAGGGTCCTCCTGATTTCCTGTTTTATTAACCATATAGCTTTGTCTTTCCTAATTGGCTCAGCTATGTTTTGACTGGCTAAGAAACACTCCTGCAGTGAATGACAACAGCCTTTCTTTGCTTTGAAAATCATGTGACCTATGCTCACAGATTTGCCTAAATCTGTGCGTGTGTTGGCATTGATATCCCAGTGTATTCATTCCTCTGTCCAGTGAAGGGCAAGGTCGTTGTCATTGTTTTCAAAGTTTATTATAAGATGCATTCCTATTACTTTTTTAAAAAACTAAGTGTATCTTAGAATTAGTTTATGAAGCTGAAGATTGAAGAGGTTGAAGATGTTAGAGAGTTTACCTCACATGTCAGAGCTGGCAGGAGGCATAACTGGGAATCTAAACCATCACATACATCTCAGCGTTCAAGGGTGTAATTATTTCCCTCCTCTTTCTCTCTGGAACCCTCTCCAGCCAGGCCTTTCCTCCCGCCACACCACCAAAACTGCTCTTGCGAGGCCACTGATGACCTCCCCGCGGCCAAGTCCACTGACCGCTTCTCAGTGAGCAGTACTGACTCCATCCTCAGAGACAGCTTCTTACGTGGCTCCCTCAGGTCCCCTGCAGGCGCTGGAAGCTTCTCAGTTTCTCTCCCTGATACTCCTCACAGTGCTGCCACCACGGGTCAGTCCTCAGACGTCTCTCGTCTTCCTGCCTTTGCTTCCTCGGTGGCCTCTTCTAGTCCCATAGCTGGCTTCTCCATGCAACAGCTTCCACATAGAAACCTGCAGCCGCCGCAGCTCCCACCCCTCCTACCGCCCACTCTCCAGCACCCTCCACGTCTTCTCCGACATTTCCATCCCCACTTCATCCTAAACTGGCTCCTTCTGTGGCCTTTGTACCTCTATAAACAGCAACAGGCTTATTCTAGTTACTCGACTGGACTCCTCTCTTTCTCTTGCTCCATGCATTCGCTCCTGTAGCAAATCCTATCAGCTGAAACTTAAAATTAAATCTAAAATTTAATCCAAATCTACCACCTGGCCCAGCCATGGCAGTCACTCACCTAACATAATTGGCTCACCACGTCCACCCAGGCCCCTCAACAGCCTCTTCTCCACCCAGCAGCCAGAGGGACCCTCTGCAGCCTCAGTCAGATCACGGTGTTGCTGCTTAAAGCCATCAGAGTAACAGCCAAAGCCCTTAGGCCACCAGGCTCTGTGTGGCCCGGGCCTGCTAGCTCCTGACTTCTCCTCCTGCTAACTGGCCTCCAGCCGCCTGGTCTCCTCGCTGGCCTCCCATGTGCCAGGCACTCTCCACCTCAGGGACTCGGGGCTTTCCACGCGGGGCTACTTCTGAGCTGCTTCTCTCTCCCCCACATTCCCATGTGACGTGCTCCCTCATTTTGGGGTATCTCTTTAAGTGATACCCCAACAGAGAGGCTTCCCTTGTGCTCCCTGTATAAACACCACCCCCCCCCGAATTCCGTCCCATGTGCTTTGCTTTGTTTCCCGTAGCACCTCTGTCACTTGAGATGGTCCATGTTGTTTGTTCATGGCCCATCCACTTTGCACTGTACACGAGCCCGTGAGCACAGAGACGAAAGTGTCTTAGTCACTGCTGTGTCCGTGCTCAGAAAAGCGCCCTTGGGAAGCAGGCCCCTGGTGAGTGTTTGTTGAATTTGGGGACAAAGGAAGAATGGAGAGCCTAGAGACAGGACTGAGCTTCTGTTAAGAGACACACGCATTTCTCCACTGCCCAGACCCTGCTGTAAGAACCCCCTTCAAGTCACCCCCCAGGACCCAGTGACTAGCCCTGGCTGACCGCTGCTCGGTGTCTCTTCCAGGTCTGCGCTCTTCCAGGCTCGGCGAGGCTGTGCTATGACCGCAGTACCCTCAGGGAGCCAGGACTGCCCCTCGCAGCTGCACCAGGTTCCCGCGGCGCCCTGCCTGGCCCTGGCCCCGAGTCGCCATGGGCAGTGTCAGTAGCCTCATCTCGGGCCATGGCTTCCACAGCAAGCACTGCCGAGCCTCGCAGTACAAGCTGCGCAAATCCTCCCACCTCAAGAAACTCAACCGGTACTCGGACGGGCTGCTCAGATTCGGCTTCTCCCAGGACTCGGGTCATGGCAAGTCCAGCTCCAAAATGGGAAAGAGTGAAGACTTTTTCTACATCAAAGTCAGTCAGAAGGCCCGGGGCTCCCACCACCCTGATTATACTGCACTGTCCAGTGGAGACTTAGGGGGCCAAGCTGGGGTGGACTTTGGCCCGTCTACCCCACCCAAGCTCATGCCCTTTTCCAATCAGCTAGAAATGGTAAGTGGGGGTCTCTGGAATGGCAGGGGAGAGCAAAATGGGTGGAGAGCACAGGGCAGGGAGGGATGGCAGTGGTGACCGAAACATTTAGATCTTCGAAAGGCCAGAGCAGCTTGGTGAGGGTGGAAATTCCCAGCCGCACTGCAGAGATCAAAGGTTAGGCAACGGAAGCGAGATGTTGGTCAGTCTTGGGTGAGCCCGTGAGCGAAGGGGAAATGAAAGGCTTTCTGAGCTCCCCCGGGATGTGCTGGATTGTCAAGGCAGGACCAACAGCAGCATTTTCAAGTGCGTGGGAAGGAGGGGGAGCTCTGGTGTCATCTGGAAGAGCAGATGGGGAGTCCGCTTGGAGAGCTGACAGCTTCTCTTGCTAGCAGACTCCTCATTTGCTGCATGGTGGCATGGTGGCTCCTCTCAAGCCGGGCCAGCCGCCGACTGGCTGGATGAGGGCAATGAGTTTCTTGCCATCATCTTTAGCAGAAATGAGGGCAAAAGAGTCCTTCATACTCAGAAATCCAGTCCTCATGCCAGATCAAGCTCTCATGGGGCCAACCAGTGGATGCCAAAAACCATGTTCCTATTTCATCCCCAGGCCCCACACTGGCTTTGATACACTAGGAAGTGGCCCCGTATGTCTGCACAGAGCCTTAAGCTTTTTAGACTAAAGGGATTATAAATTGCATAGTACTCTACCAATGAAAATGACAATTTTAAGGAAAGGGTTATGTCAAGTGTCCCTCCCAACCCTTTGAGGAGATCACCGGGGAGTCTACTGGAAGGGGCAGTGGAGGTGAGCAACGGGTTGACTTCTACAGGGACTCCATGCTCACCCAGCCTAACGCTCCTGTCCACGCCACACAGAGACAGAGCCAGAGCTGTCCATCTCAGGAGGCTGGGACAAGCTGGTGGCAGGTGGCAGTTCATAGGGGATTGTTAAGGACATCCTCCAGGCACAGAGCTGCTTCTCCTCAAGAGATTCAGCACATTGGCTGCTTCAGAGCACCATGCGAGGTCGTCTTGGATTATGGCCAAGAAGGGTGCCACGTGGCTGGGTGGGGAGGGAGACACAGGTCATATGGTTCTTTTCCTCCCTAGGCCTCCGAGAAGGGTGCCGTGCGGCCTACAGCCTTCAAGCCGGTGCTGCCTCGATCAGGAGCAGTCCTGCATGCCTCCCCCGAGAGTACCAGCCACCAGCTGCACCCCGCCGCTCCAGACAAGCCCAAGGAGCAGGAGCTGAAGCCCGGCCTGTGCTCTGGGGCTCTTTCTGATTCCGGCCGCAACTCCATGTCCAGCCTGCCCACACACAGCACCAGCAGCAGCTACCAGCTGGACCCTCTGGTCACAGCTGTGGGTCCCGCCAGCCGTTTCGGGGGCTCGGCCCACAACATCACCCAGGGCATCCTCCTCCAGGACAGCAACATGATGAGCCTGAAGGCGCTGTCCTTCTCGGATGGGGGCAGCAAGCTGGCCCACCCAGGCAAGGCAGACAGGGGCTCCTCGTGCGTGCGCTCGCCCATCTCCACGGACGAGTGCACCATCCAGGAGCTGGAGCACAAGCTGCTGGAGAGGGAGGGCGAGCTGCAGAAGCTGCGGCGCAGCTTTGAGGAGAAGGAGCTGGCCTCCAGCCAGGCCTACGAGGAGCGGCAGTGGCGCTACCAGGAGGAGCTGGAGGGCCCCGAGCAGAAGTGCAGCAGCAAGCTGAAGGCGGCCTCGCAGAAGAGCCAGCGCACACAGCAGGTGCTGCACCTGCAGGTGCTCCAGCTCCAGCAAGAGAAGCGGCAGCTCCGGCAGGAGCTTGAGAGCCTCATGAAGGAGCAGGACCTGCTGGAGACCAAGCTGCGGTCCTACGAGAAGGAGAAGACCAGCTTCGCCCCCGCGCTGGAAGAGACCCAGTGGGAGGTGAGACTGGGGGTGCTCCATGTTTGGTGCCCGGGCCCCTCCCCTCCTCCAGGTTCTGGCCAGTGGTGTGTAGACACAAGCCACCCGGCACACTGCACTAAAGGGCTGGCTTCATGATCCAAATGAGGGGCTTCCTGGTAACCATACCAGGGATGCAGTTAGTCCGCGCTTCTCACTTTCTCCCTGTCTGCTAGGTACACTCTTCCACCGGTCCCAGCACCGGTGGAAGAGTGTACCTAGCAGAATTGAATTTATTGACCAAGTCACTGACCAAGAGGCTGAACCATAAGAAGCAAGGCCTAGCTGAACCATAAGAAGCAAGGGCCAGCTTGCTTCATCTGCTCACAGCAGGCTCAATAGAAGCACAGCCATACCTGAGTTCATGCTGGTCCAAGAGCCAGGAGAGAGAGAGGATATATTACTTTTGAGGGAAGGGCCTCCACCCACTGGTGAGAGTGACCCCATTTGTGGCAGGTCGCAGTGGCAGAATGGATCACTCGCCCTAGAAGTGTCAGTGGGGATTCTATCAAGCGTCTGAGATGGAAACAGGACAGGAAGAAAGGGGCTCACGTGCGCACATGCACACACTCAGGCACACTTGGAAGTGAAGGCTCTGCACCTGGCCACTGGAGAACCAGCTTGACCCCCACATCCTGCTGCCTGAAGGCAGCTGTTCTCACTGGGAGGCCCCTGGAGGTGGTGCTGGGACCGGTGGGAGAGTGTACCTAGCAGCTCTGTGGTTCACCCCAGGCAGACTCCACCCTGGAAAGGGACTGAACGCCATTGTGTCTGGTTGGACCAGCACCACCACCCTACAGCACAACCATCTGCTTGCACTGGAGCTCTCTGTACTTGTCCTGGAAGTTAGGAGGACAGTGTTACCAGAAGTAGAGGAAAAGGGCCCTTTCTATGGAAGAGATGGATGGAGAACTGGACAGGTGGGAAGGGAGTCGCTTCCTGTTTGCCAGGTTTCCCAGGGTGGAAAGGATGTGGGCACAGCAGAACCTGCCCTAGCCACTATTTCTCAGCCTGGGCTTGGGGACACCTCAGAGATATAAGCTATATAAGCCAGTGCTGGCATTAGGCATCCATCCTTGTTTGTCCCATCCAGAGCTAAGCTGGACATTGCTGTGAGCCTCAATCAGGCTATATAGCGAAACAATAAGTTAAGTTCAAGTAAGCATTTATAATAGCATAGATATATTCAAACATATTTATAATAATAATGTATAGAGTGTTTATTAAGTGTCAGGCCCTAGGTTCTCTCATCTACTCCTTACCCTATGGAGGAGTTACTGTTACTAATTCTCCATTTACAGTTAAGGAGACTGAGGCACAGAGAGGTTATGATGGCGAATAGCTAGTTAGATGGCTTGCCCACGGCCACCACATAATAAGTATCAGAGCCAGGACTTGATGCTGACAGCTTGGCCCCAGAGTTCACATTTTTCATCACTGCACCATATTGCCACTATGCTAATGGTCACTCAGGTCATAAGTGGTCAAGTCAGGATCCCAAGCTGGCCCATGCCTCCACCATGCCTCTGTGCTGCTCCCTCCATAAACAAACACAGGCTTGGCCCTGAAAGGTATTCTCGGTCCCGGTCAGTGCTTCCAACGTGGTTCATGACAACAAAGGGGTTTCTACCATGAGAGGAAAAGTGGGAAATATCAAAGTGGCTTCCAGAATCCCTCCTGTTAGAGGCCCAGGCGCTGGCTTCATTCTACCAGCTTTCCCAGGGCAGCGGGAAGTACACTGTGACACACAACCAGACTGGCCTTGGTCTTCTTCTGAGCCACTCAAGACCCTGAATGGCCCAGACCCAGAAACACACCTATCTGCTTTAGCACCTTTGGTTTTGTTTGCAGGTCTTTGCCAACTTTGTTGGGGAACAGGAATAGAAATGGTGGAGGCCCGGAGGCAGGGAGGTCACAGTCGCCATCATTTGGTAGATAGGAATCAGGCCCTGCCTCTGAGCCAGGCACAGTGCTCGTCACGGGACGAATGTGTGGATGTGGTCTTCACCCCAGTAGGGAGGACAGGAGCTGGGTGTGTGCAGGGGTGAGGTCAGAGTGTATGGGCATAAACACAGCAATGGAGACGTAGCAGACATGGAAATCAGTGCCACTGATGTTAAATGTGGATGCTGGAGATGCTGGCAGTGGGCAGATTAAACCACTGACCATCGATGGACACATGGCCATAGGTATCGACTGAGATTTCTACTCTGAATTAGGGTGAGGGAGTCATGTGGACAGACCGAGCCAGACTGCAGAATGAAATGAGCTTCAGGGAGGGGCTTGGCCCTCATGGGTCACTCAGACCAGCATGCCTGGGAACCCTCTGGAGGCCCCGTGTCAGGACAGCTTCATCCTGTGAGGCAGGGAAGAGGTAGCCTGCCCTGGGCGATGTCCTCTCACCTCCTGGCACTCTCTCTTCTCTCCCTCCCCGCCCCCGGCAGGTGTGCCAGAAGTCAGGGGAGATCTCTCTCCTGAAGCAGCAGCTGAAGGAGTCCCAGATGGAGGTCAACGCCAAGGCCAGTGAGATCCTCAGTCTGAAGGCGCAGCTGAAGGACACGCGGGGCAAGCTGGAGGGCATGGAGATGAAGACGCAGGATTTGGAGAGCACTCTGCGCACCAAGGGCCTGGAGCTGGAGGTCTGCGAGAACGAGCTGCAGCGCAAGAAGAACGAGTCCGAGCTCCTGCGGGAGAAGGTGAACCTGCTGGAGCAGGAGCTGCTGGAGCTGCGGGCCCAGGCCGCCCTGCAGCGGGACTGCGTGTCCCGGGGGCCCGGGCTGGGAGCCGGGCCAGCGCCCACCTTCTCTGAGGACATCCCCGCCCTGCAGCGGGAGTTGGAGAGGCTGCGGGCCGAGCTGAAGGAGGAGCGGCAAGGCCACGACCAGATGTCCTCGGGCTTCCAGCACGAGCGACTGGTTTGGAAGGAGGAGAAAGAGAAGGTGATCCAGTACCAGAAGCAGCTACAGCAGAGCTACCTGGCCATGTACCAGCGGAACCAGCGCCTGGAGAAGGCCCTGCAGCAGCTAGCCCACAGGGACGGTGCGGGGGAGCCTTTGGAGATTGACCTGGAAGGGGCTGACATCCCCTACGAGGACATCATCGCCACCGAGATCTGAGGGGCCTCCTGGGAGAGGGAGAGCTGGGACCTGGCATTGGAGGCAGGGGTGCAGAGCCTGTCCAGGAGGGCTCCCCTCTCCTGCTTCCCTGCTCAGTAACTGGGCCTCTCTGAGAGAAGCCTGCCCTGACGCAGACCTGGGATCCTGAAGGGGAGAGAAGTGGAGGGGAGAGGAGGGACTGCCACATAGCCTCTCTTCCCTTTTCCCGTGGTCCAGTGCTCACCATTCTGCAGCCCACCAGACCTCTAGCTCTCCCAAGAGATGGGCCCAGGGGTCTCCATCATTTGCTTAAGGTCTCCCTAAACCTTGGCCTTTATTCAAATATTTAGAGATACCCTCCCCCGGGGATGGTGGCAGCTGTGGTGAAGGCCAGTGACCTCTCTTCCCACATTCTCCCTCCCCTGGATACACTGGGATGCCTTGGAAATAGAAAGAAACCATTGGTTATCAGAATCCTTGTCATAACCTGAGCTCTTCCTCTGGCCAAGGGGGTGCAGGGGTTGGAGTGGGGTGTGGAGAACCTGGCTTCGCTACATCAGCACTGGCCTGATCCCAGCAAGCCACAGAAGGGAGGGAGAGCTGGGTAGCCCAGGAGAGTCTACTCAGCAAGGACCACAGGGGGCAGAGGGAGAAGCTCAAGGCCAGACCCTGCAGGTCCTGATAACTGGAGGTGAGCAGCTCTGGGCAGCTGGTGGCCTTTAATCTCAGTGACCACTTTTCTTAAAGCCATAGATACTGAGGACCTGGGGAGGTGCTAGGAAGGGAAGATTGAAGGCACCATGACACGGGGTGAGTGTGGCTTTCCATTTGAACAAAGGAGAGCTTCCAGATGGTTCCTGGTGGGGTCTGGAGGCGGGGCTTCCCCGCCTGGTTGAAGTTGGCCAGTGACCACTTTGAACTTGTTTTCTCCCCCAAGAATCAAGCCTTTGCTGGATCCAAAATAACGTCTATCCGCTGAGGTGGTTCAGGATGACCTGGGCGGCGGCATACCTTTTCCCTTCATATCGCCAGTGCCAAGTTCAGACAAGAGTCCTTCCTGGTCAGGAGGGATAGCCGGAGCCCCAGGCAGGGAGAGTGAGAGGCGCAGACACAGCCTTATGAAGGTCCCCAGGGCCACTGGCTGGCCTCCCTCCACCCTGAGCCCCACAGAGCCCTGACTGTGGAGAAGCCAGAGGCTGCAGCTGCTGGGAGCTGGGCCAGTGCTGGGGAGGCTGCTTTCCTTCCGAAGGTGTGCAGAGCTGGGGGAGGACAGCAAAGGTAGGGTGTCTCAGTTGCTTGTTTCAGAATTTTTTTTTTTTTCTTTCTTGTGTTTTCAGAAGCAAGCCAGATCTAGCAGGCAGTCGGGCTGTTCCATGTGCTATTTTTGACTCTAGCCACAGCTGCTGTTCTTAGGACAGCCAGCCCTTGCCGGGTTCCTGTGCCTCATGCCTGCCTGCTGGGAGGGCTCACGGAGGCAAGGGGGATGGGGGATGAGAATGGCTGGGTCATAGCAGCTCCACACCTACCCCACCCACCTCCCTGACCTCTGACCTTTGGCTACAGCCCTCCCCTACCCCCCACCCCATGGGAGTGGAGCTGCTCTTCCTGCCCCTGACACTCCAGGACCCATCATGTTCCTTCCCTGAGTCTGGGGTGAGGGGAGGGCCACCTTCCCTGCGGTTGGCTCTGCCTTTCCATCCCCAGGGCTCAGCTATGCCTGAGCATTTCTGGAATTTGAAGCCATGGCTCTTAGTCATAAACCAGATTTAAACCTGGAGTCCACAGGCCAAGAGCCCCTCCCTGCCTGGAGGGCACTACCGCCACTGGGCATAGTGCAGACCCCCAATCAAAGATGTCCCATTGCCTGTGCCATGGCCCTTCCTCCCTCCATTTCCACCAGCCCGTGCCTTGCGTTCTTCCTCCCCGTGAGACTGCCCCCCAGGACAGAGACAGGGGCTGCTGCCCCCTCCCCAGGCTGGAGACACCCCTCCCAAAGAGCAGTCCTTCACCTGAGAAGTGGTGGGTGCTAACTGGGGGAGGTGGGTGCTAACCATGGCGTGACAGTGCCCTGCACCCCACATCCCTGCCCTCAGCCAACTCATGGATCCCTCCCTGAGCTGCCACGAGCCCAAGGCCCCAGTATGGCCCACAGTAGCACCAGGGTGCATCAGGGTCCTGTAACATAGCAACCTCACCACCCTGTGGCTTTCTTCCCCTCCCTTTGGAAAAACGTCCTTACTCCTCCTGGACCATGCCAGACCCAGCCTCTCCAGAAAGAGGCTGTGAACAGCAGAGGCTGAGCAGGGACTGGGGAGGTCCGACTGCGTGGGCCTCAGAGCAGGCAGCCTGGCCCCGGCCAGCGTGAGCTCTTCACTGCCCTTCCCTCTTCGCTGCCCTTCCCTCTGAGCACTCCTGCTGGCATGAGAGCTCACTCAGACCCACCCACTTGCTCCCCAAAGAATACCTGGCACGAAATGTTCCAGCTGTCTGCAGAAAGCAGCATCCAGCACCACCTCTCCAAGGAGGGGATTCTGCCCCTGGGACTTGGGATGACCAGACTCTCACCAGTGCCCACTGCACGTGTCTCCTCTGGCCACCAATAGTTCAGATGACTCCTGCTGGGCACACTCTGCCCACTGTGGGCACTAATCTCTGTGGGGGCTGGGGGCCATCTCTCCCTGAGAAGCAACCGCTGAGCCTCAGCCCCTGCCCTGGTCTTGTCCTCACCTAGCCGAGGCTGCCCAGAGGTAAGCCAGGCTGGGCTGCTGGAGCAGCAGCTTCAGGAGGGTCATTCCCTGTGGGCCCCGAGTTCTCCTGAGCCAGAGCCGTTCACCCTGTGCAGGTGGGTGCTCCCCTTGCCTGCAGCATGGAGGGTCCATGCTGCGTCTGCAGGCAGAGCCGGAACCCCCAGCCAAGGCTGCCTTTGGATGGACTAGCATTTGGAAGAATATGTACAGTTATTTTTCTCTTGGTTGTTTCTTGTTTGGTTTGCTTTGCTTTTGACAGCTTTGTTTTATTTTATTTTTGATGCCCCTTTCGGCTATGTAAACTATTTCTGTTTTTATTTATGAATAAAGAATGCCATTTCTCATGCCCTCCCTAGCCCGTTTTATCTACTCAAGCCACCCTCCTTCCCCTTACATGCCGCCCAACAAGCCCCTCTCCATCCGAAGGGCAAGGAACAATAGGGAAGCAGGCCTGGAAAGGGACAGGCCTGGAAATGACTCTTTCAGCTATAGGAGGGGCAGCAAACGGGGAGCAAAGGCTTTCCCACCCCATCTCCTCTGGAGCACTGTCCAAGACGCAAGCCTTCCCTGAGCCCCCAAACCTGCTTATTATTTTAGGGGAGGAGAAGAACAAAAGGGAAAGAGAGAGAGACTGCTGCTTCCCCAGAACAAGCAGCTGGGGCCTCAGCATGGCCACGCCGGGCGCAGGCACAGGAACCCTCGCGGGGCCACAGACTGTGCCGCCGAGCTTGCAGGGGGAGGCGCAGCTGCGTTCCCCAGGCAGCCTCCGCAGCAGGTGCCTCCCGAGTGAGGCGAGGAAAGTCACGCTGCCTCCAAATCGCTCCGCAACCGTGCGTCGCAGGTGGAGCATCGGGCCTCACCTTCCAAACCCTCGCGCGAGCCTGTGTTCACTCAACAAATACTGAGCTCCGCCTCGATGGCAAGCTCTGTCCTCGATGCCGGAGATACAGAGGCGAACGGGACAGCCGAGGCCCTTTGTCCTTACAGACCCTACGCTGTGGAAGCCACAGAGCAGCTGCTCCTCCACCCCGGTGAGCGGTGAGCGCTGTGGGGGAGGCGCACAGGGCACAGGGCGCACTGTCTGGAAGGTTCAGGGAGGGGGCAGATTGCTCCAGGGAAAGGAAGGCTGGAGAACCAAAATGTCTCCTTCTTTCAACATTCTGGGAGACTGCTAGTCACTGTCCTTCCCTAACTTGGACCTCCCCCTGCCCCCCCCAAGTTCTCTCTCTAGGAAACCTCCCCTTCCCCGGGGCCTCAGCAGACAGCTCTTTAACAGGCGGCCACTCCCAGCTGTCCTCTGACCCCAACATCTCACTACAACCCCTGTGGCCCTGAGCAGCCCAAAGCCTCACCTTCCTCTCCCACTAAAACACCTGCACCCACCACTTCCAGTGAAGACCGCCGACAGGCCTGACGCATGCAGCATCGCGCTCCCGCGTCGCAAGAGAAAAACAAGGCTGTGTGAAATGGCATAATCCCTGTATGGACGCCTCAGTTCAAACAGCACCTTTCCGTATAACTTGAGTGAGAAATGTTCAATTGATTTATTTATCTACACATATTTTTACATGTCTGTTTCTTTGCCTCCGCAGACATTTATCCAGCGCACTGTATAATCAGAACTGTTCCCCGGCCTAGCTATATTCCACCAATCTCGGCTTGCAGTGGGAGCGTCCTTGGCCCTGTGCTTTTCTTTGATCCTGTCTCTCTAACCAGACCCTAGATCCTGTAGAGTTCACTCCGCAAAGCCCTCACCTCCTTCCTCTTTCCTCCCCTCACCCACTGGCCCAGCTGAGGTCGTTAGGGTCACAGAACGCCCAAGACATCTTAGACATCTTCTACTTCAACCCACCTCACTTTGACAGATGTGCTAAAGAGAGACTAGAAAGGACTTCCTCAAGGTCACACAGCTAGTGAATGACAGACCCAGTCACCTTGACGGCCCTGCTAACCCTGCTGGTTCCTTTGCCACACTCTGGTCCATTAACTGCACTGGCACACAAGTCAGGTTTATCCCCCGTGCTGCTCCCACCAGGCCCTCCTTTGCTCAGACCCTTCAGGAATCCCACTGACCGCAGAATAAAGTTCAATGCCCTCAGCTGGCTTCAAGCCTCTCCACTTTACGGTTCCAACACCTACCTCGCCAACCTGAATCTACCTGCAGATCAAAGTATATTCACTGAAACATCCCATCTACCATCAATATAAGCTCAATAAACACCAAGATGTTCCCCCGGTCCAGTCATGCTCTGCCCCCATCCTGTTCCACCTGAGACCGCAGGTGCCTGGATGGGAGGCAGCATGGCAGGGGGTCAAGTGCCCAATCTGAGGACTCAGAGCTGGCTGCCCTCACCCCCAGGCTCCACCCTGCTGCACTGTGTGACCTTAGATAAGTTACTTAACCCTGTGCTTCAGAGGGTTGTTTTGACAATTAAATGAGATAATGCTAATAAAAATAAGCTAGAGTTGCTATTATTACTATCATAATTTGTTAACCACAATTAGTATTGTTTGTTAATATAACGTTACTGCCTTGATCTGTGATGAACTACAGTGGTGCCCCAGCAAAGCTTCAGCCCTTGGGGAACAGCTGACTCTATTCTGGTCAGCTGTCTCCCCCCACCCTTCTCGCCACCCCTGCTCTCAACTCCAGAAGGCTGGCTTGAGGGGAAAGCCCACCGGGGAGAGGGCGCAGCTGGGGGAAGAAAGGAACAAAGAGGAATTTGCAAGGGGGTGTCCTGGAACAGGCCTGGGCCAGCCTGTGGCACCAACCCCCCCCCCC